ATATATATATATATATATAGAACAGAGAGTTACCATGTGACCCAGCAATCCACTCCTAGGTATGTACTCAAGAGAATTGAACACATATGTTCACATATAAACTGTACATGAATGTTGACAGCAGCATTATTCATAATAGCCAAAATGTGGAAAAAACCCAAATAGGTATGTACTCAAGAGAATTGAACACATATGTTCACATATAAACTGTACATGAATGTTGACGGCAGCATTATTCATAATAGCCAAAATGTGGAAAAAACCCAAACATCCATCAACTGATGAATAGACAAGTAAAATGTAATACAGCCATACAATGCAATGTTATTCAGCCATAAAAAAGAGTGAAGCACTAATACATGCTACAGCACGGGTGAACCTTGGAGACGTTATACTAAGTATAACGTCAGATGCAAAGCAGCCAGATGCAAAAGGCCACATTTTGTATAATTCCATTTATATTAAGTTTCCAGAATAGGCAAATCCGTAAAGATAGAAAGTAGATGTCAGGGAGGGAGGAATGGGTATGGGGTTTTTTGGGAATGGTCTAGAATTAGATAGTGGTAACAATGGCACAACCTTGTGAATATACTAAGAATCACTGAATCATACATTTTAAAAGGGTAAATTTTATGGTATGTATTTCAACACAAATTTCATCAAAATGAAAAAGAAAACCTGACTCTTGATCCTCCCCTGAAAACTTCTCCCCTGAAGCCTCTCCCAATTCCATCCTGATGGGTGGATCATCTGATCATCCATCCTGGTCTTCAGGCTGACCCATCCATCCTGTTGGTCAGGCCAAACATTTTGGAGCCATTCTCTTATTTTCTTACGCCCCACATCCAATCCATTAGAATATCATAATGGTTTTTCCTTTAAAATATATCCAGGATCCAAACACTTCTTTCTAATCCCCTCCACTGCTATGACTCTTGTGGGAGCATCTTTACCTTGTATCTTATTTACTGCAGGACTTTCCTCCCGTCTCCCTGTTTCTACCCTTGCCACTCTAAAGGCAATTCTCAACACTGCATCAGGGGAATCTTCTCAAAGCTTAAGTTAGATTCCATCCCTCCTCTACTCAAAACCCTGCAAGGGCTGCAATCTTACTCCAAGAAAAACTCAAAGCACTTACTATGGCCTCCAAGGCCTCATGGTCCCCCTGTTTCCCCATTCCTTCTCATTTTCTACCAACCTCACTCACTTAACTCCACCTCCTGAGCACTCCTGGAACACAACAGGCAGCTCTCGGGCCAGGGCCTTTGCCCTGCAGCTGTCTTTGTCCTGGAAAAGTCTGCCTCCGGCTATCTGCCTCGTTATCTCTGCCTCTGTTGCCTTGCTGTGACTTTCTTGTGAGACCTACTGTGACTACACCTCACCCTCAACACCTCTGTTCTCCCACACCCTGCTCTTCTTCTTTTCTGTTGTACTTAACACCATCAAAATGTTATATAATTTACTTATTTATTTATGTATGTTTATTCCTACTCCAGTGTAAGAGCCAGATGGGAGAGGGCTTTTGCCTGCTTTGTTCACTGCTGTATCCCAAGTGCCTAGAATAGCAACTGGCTCATAGCATCGCTCATTAAATATTTGCTGAATGTATGAGCGAGCTCTGAAAAATGAGAGGGAATTAACTAGGAAAAGCAGTTGGAGGGGGCAGTGGGGGAGAATGCTCTGGGCAGAGGAACGATATGTAGAAACGCCTTAACAAATGAAGGGAGGAAAAATAACACTTGCTCATCAAACAGGTGGCATAAAGTCATTTGATAAAAGTTAACACCCATTTATGATACAGACAAACTCAATTTGCTTAACAAACTTTAAACAAACTCATGAACTTGCTTTTTAGGTTGATAG